ATGCATCATTCTGTAATCTTCAGTGTGATTTGTTCCATTGTTTCAATCATTCTTTGTGTGTTAGCATACTACATTTGACAAAATGTATCATCTTTTTTCGCTTCCAAATTGTGGCTCATAGATATGCGTCTATGAAAAGACAAGTTTAGTTATTTGATTCATTAGATAAGAGATTTCTTATATTTGAGATTAAATATTACATTGACTTAGACCAATGTTGGATATGAACCTGAATTCATTCAAAGTATAAGCAAACGAAACGTTGGTAATTTTACATTGAAAACTAATGTTGAATTTGCAGCAAAATATCTGAACTACATAGTCACTATAATGAATACCATCATTCGATATCGACTGCAAAATAAAACATTTATTGTAGATAATTGATGTGCAATCTTAAATATGATATTTATCTCGATGAATTTAGAAATGAATGCTGATATTAAGATCAGTCAGAATCACTTGTCAAACTTATTACCTCTAACCGAATATATTTCAATAAAAAGAAATCTAATGGTATCAAATCTACTGATCTTGAAGCTCATGAGATTGGTTCATGTGTAATAAACCATTGTCTTGAAGCAATGTATTGATACCACATGTTACTGGAAAAGCACTTCTTTTTTTTATAATTCTTTTTTTTGATAAAATCAAGTAGAAAGAAAAGCTTTGAAGCATATCAAGGTTACACAACGAGTGATCTAATCATTGGATCATCAAACAAAATGACCCCAACGGAAGGTATTCTTGAGACATTTTGTATGAGCATGATATGTCATATAATAGAACGTTTGATACAAAGGAAAGATCGTTAAATATCTGAACACAACTGAAATAGTTTGCTGTTTTATAACTAATATAAATAAATAACATTTTCGAACTACTTTATTAATACATATAAATTATTATATTAATGTTAATGAATCTTGTCATGATATTTGTCATATTATATATGTAAGATGTCATTATAAGACAGATTAATCCATTGATTATATACAGCTGTCACCGGAAAGAGATAATCTAGGATTTCAGTTATTTATAGACGATTGTAGAATGACTGACAGAAAAATATGATAATTAACAATAAAGTATGCTTTTTTAATATATTTATAAATAAATTCGGTTTTGAAAATTTCTGGACTTAGTGTGTTCGAAATCTAGTTTCAGATAGAGCATATGTATTAGAATTTTTAAAAAGTGATAAGTTAATGCTAACAGCTTGGCATTAATTAATTCTAATGCAACTAATACCAAAGCACTAAGGTTAACATCAATACTAATGCAACACTCCTGGTTTTAACTGAAGTAAATAGTTATGATAAAACTCCATTATACCGAATTGAACGTAATTCAACATTAACAGATACCATTATTTGTATAAAAGAACGTTATAACATATGATAAATGTCTGCCTAGAATTCTAGATATTGTTCGAATAGATTATTTCTATATCTGAAACTTTTAACGAACAAAATAGAAAAACACTAAAATGTCAATATTGTGAATGTCTTGAAATATTTTTTTGTAAAACAGTAGTGCAAAAATTCTGTATAGGACATAATTAAGAACTTTTTGGAAAATTGAGAGAGATATTTTAAAGCAATGTACTCTTTTTTTTTTGTTTTTTAAATTTTATTTTGCGGAGTAAACTAAATAATTATAGAATTTCTGGATTCGACAATCAGCTATAGATCACTGAAAATAATGTTTAAATTATTTTCACAAAAAAATGAACTAAAATCCAACAAATACCGGGTGTCACAAAAGTTTTGCAATATTTCGTGTTTTGTATATAGCTCAGTTCATAAACGTCAACATTTTTATGGGTCAAAAAGTATGATTATATGAATTACATTTACTTTCTATACGGTTTTTATTAAATTATTTTTTTCGTGTGAACGAATATTTTTGCTTTTAAAAAAAGTAGACTGTTAGATGGCTCTCGAAAGATTCTGTCGATCGCTAATATAATTAACATTCAGTCTTTCTATTAGACGGCATAGTCAGAAAAACGTGTGGGAAGTAAATGCAATTCATATAATCATACTTTTTGACCCATAAAAATATTGGCGTCTGTTATTTTAAATTAAGCTAAATATAAATTTGTAGAGTATTAAATTGTGCATCTTCCAAAATTAAATTCAAAATTTTATCTTTTGTATAAACTGTGCTATATGCAACACACGACATGTTGCAAAACTTTTGTGACATCCGGTATTATAATATTTGAATATAAATCATCAAGACATCGTAACTGGTTGAGCTAAGCGACCACATTTATTTTCCATCATTATATTAATTATCAATGTTTACAGTAGACAAAGATTCATAAATAATTATTTTTCTTACAACTACAAAAGCTTTCAATATCTTTATTTATATATATTTATAAATACATAAATAATTTTTTTAAATGAAAAATATCAAGAAAATTTAAATGGCAAGGCTATAAAATAATTATCTGACACAGGATTATAGACACTAAAAAAAAATCCCATAGGTTTTCTTTTGTGTATATATATATATATCTATGACAATGTATCTAATAATTGACAATATGTGGCCATGTTTCCTTTAAAAGAATATATTTGATAGCTTCCATAACATCAAGTTTAATTGTTGTTGGTAATTTCCATGGATTTTTACCATCAAGTTTTTGTTTATTGGGTTCATAAACACCTGTACATACTAAAATTGATTCACATGATGTTGCACTTAAAAATGTCGAGTCCGATAACAAACTATAACCACTAATACTTGTTCTTAAATTGATTGATTGTTGTAATAAATAATTATACATATTTGCACCAACAATATCAACATCTGGATTATCTCCAATAAAATAAACTTTTTCAATTTTTGATTGACCATTAGCTAATGCTATTTTATTAGCTATTGTTTCAGCATATTGATATGAAATTTCAAATGGTTTACCAACAAATGCTGTATATTTAAGATCGTTTCCACTAATACTCTATATAGAAATGAAAAACAAAAGTTCATAGAAATTTTTTTTTTTTTTTTTTTTTTTTTGTAAATGAAAAAATAATTTACTTTATACAATGTTTCTAAACATGAAAGAAAAGCACCATGACCAAAACGTGGTAAATCTGCAGCAGCTTTAAATACAAGATCTCTGTTGCAAGCAATAATAGGTATATGATCACGTTCAGTATTTGAATCGGTTGGTACAATAGCAGGGTTACCATCGGTTAAAAGAAGATCAATAATAACTTGTAATGATCTTTCCCATTGAATGGGTTCACCAAGTAAAACAATAGCTTAAAAAGAAAACGACAAAAATGAAAGTATTGTTGAGACGAACAAAACGAGTATCTACCATCAATAGGACGAAAATTCTCATCATGAATAAGACCTTGAGTACTAATCATTTCGCTCTAAAATATATAATAAATATCAACAAAAAAGAAATTTTTTTGTTCTTGTCTTTTTGTTACTTACTAATCTATCCCGATTCATATGATTAACCATATCTAATTCTGGAAAAGCTTCACAGACTTTTTCAATTGTTGTTATACTTTTAAAACCGATTCTATTTTTAAAAAAATTGAATAAATAAACATTAGAAATAATAAATCAAATTAAAATATGTACATTCGAGCGATGTCTTCAGCTGGACCTTGTCCTGAAACAAGAACATGTTTATTATGAAGATCAGTTAGCGTACGTATCGGTGTTTGAGCAAGAACAACTTGTTCAGGATGAATCTGCATTTAAACATATATGTGTATATGTGTTTAAAAAATCGAATGAAAAATATTAGAAAGATTGACTCACAGTTACTCCAAGTACAGCTGATAATTGTTTAGCTTTATCTGATTCGAGCATACATGTATTTGAAACAAATACAACAGGTATTTTGAGCTGAATCAATGTTTGAATCGCTGGTTTAGCAACTGTAATGAAATTGGGACCTTTCGTAATAACACCATCAATATCAAAGAAACAGGCAAAGTTCAGCTATTCAAATAAATATGTATTAATAAAAATCAGCAAAATAAAATTCCAATATTTATCTACCGCTTTCATGATAGAGATTCTTAGTATCAGTAAACACTGGCTAATTTTGTTTGAAGAAACAAATTTATAATAGACAATTTTTTTTCTAAGAAAAACTCAGCAGATCGACGGTATTTATATACCGACATCGATAACAAAAACAGATGCACGAAAGGGACAAGTCTGTGGTATCAGACCTTATATAGTAAACTGCGTTGTTTGATTTTGCTCATGTAATCAGTTTTGTACTGTTCCATAATCGGATGATATATGCATGCTTGCTCAGAACATACACTCACTGAATGATATTATTCTATTATTAGTACATTCTACTCGTTCGTTGTATGATGCCATGATGTTAGGAGTGACAATAGAGAGATAAAGAACGAAGCACACAGTGTTTTTCTATTCTGTTGAAAGACGCAGACAAAGATGTATCGAGTACTCTGTTGGTTTTGTCCATAGACGCTCCGCATGTAACTATTATCGTAAGTCTATTTATATCTAAATGCACTAAAAATACAAATTCCAAACATTAATAGCCACACTTTAAATAGATCTTGAGCACATACTAACAAATAAGTCAATTCTATCACATAAGTTTTAGTGTCGTGTGATCGTTCAAGGAAGGAGAACAAATTCATACAATACATTTAGCTGTCATTTATCTCTTTTGTTTATTTGACCTTGCTGTATTGTATACTTTTTATTAAGTGTAATTCATATGAATATTTTTTTCTATTACTCTGTATATTTTAATAATGGTGAAATATTTCTTTCATGTAAATGAATAGCTTTGGTAATCTAGTATTGTTGAACTCGTGTTTTTTTTATCTTGATTATAATTTAAACAAATTAATACAGTTTTGATTTTTATCAAATAGGTTTTGATGTTAAACATAGAGTGTATAAAATATTTAAATAATGCAAGTTCTACTAAAAATAATGATGTAAACGTAGACAATAGTACTATATACTAGCTAATCATAATAAAATAATCGATCATATCTATCAAATGTTGCACAAAATAATATTATAACTAAAAGATTATTTATTATATATTGTCTCTTATATTTATATTGAAAATTTTCTATCAATTCGTAATGATGAACTATACATATATATTCATTGAATTACGTATTTTAATGGTGTACTAGTTTTTGAAACAAAAGATATAGAAACTGGGTGTGTGAATGTGGTTGGCCTTGGTAAACAAAAGCCTCACACCAACACTCAAACTACATACCTATATTCAACCAATCAAATGATTAATATATTAGAGCTACATGCCGAGGCTTTTGTGAAATTGCTAAGATAGAAATTTAGTCATGTTTTGAAAGATTTAATTAAACAACTATTGAAAGAAAAGTCGATGATATTAATGATGTTCATGAACATGTATTCGGATAAAGTATTCAATCTGTTTTGTAAGCTTTGTTTCATTTTGCAAATGACGCCTCTCAGAAATAGGACAGAACATATCTTATTAAAACTATTTATGATAAAATATACTCAACAAAACTTACTAGATCGCGGTGATATGTATAAAACTTTTACGAATATTAACAGACAAAAATATTAGAGAGAATGATTTTTCAAAATAATGGGCTCGAATATTCCAAATAAAGCTGATCATTTTGAACAGCTACCATATATTAAGTTCTATGAAATAAAACTTAAATGTATATCGAATAAACCTATGCCAAACTCATGTAAATCGCTTGAATTGTTTTAGAACTAGTGATGTTCTTTTTTCGATCGAACTTTTGGGACACCCTGTATATCAATAAACCGTATTTTCTTAATAAGTGATCATGTAAGTTATTTATTGGTTTTAAATTTATTTTACGTACTCACCGTTTAAATGATAATCAAAAGAAAGTCTTAGTAAATGTCTTAAATTGAGTGTAATTATTCGATAGCCTGTCAGCCTAAAAAGGACCATGTTTGGTCAAAGTTGTGTAAAATATTTCTCGAACACAAGGTGGCCAAACTTATCCATTCGAACGTTTTTTATAAATTTTCATATATTCTCTATCGATTCGTGGCATTTGTTTTGAATAATGACGAGAATAAATGGTAGTCACTAGCCAAAATCAAGCGTGTGAGTTTAGGTGTGAATGTGAATGTGAATGTAGATGTGGGTTAAGGCGGGGTGTGCTATCCCTCAGCGATGATACCTGCTGTTACACTGACACTCACATCCTTCATGAACATCCACACTCTAATGATAATTATTATCGTTAGTCTTCGACTAATTGCTCAGCTGAGGCCAATGAATAAGCCACAAGACGGTTGCCATCAAACTCTTGTGACTTAGTGACAGCAATTACAGGTCTAATTAGAGCTCTGTTAGTTTATTGTGACTAACTAAATAAACGTCTTGTCTTTACTTTTACTACTTCTTGTTCAGAACTACTCTACATAAAACAAAAAACAAACTATATATATAGTTACACATAATATAACAACATAAATCGGTATAGTGACCAATGAAGAAATAAAAGAAAAGAAGGAGAAGAGAGCTAGTGGTTGCAGATAGCGCCACTAACTAACAAGCGCTTTGTGAGAAACGCTCTTTCAACTTTAAAACGTCGTAAAGTGTAACAACAACAAAAACTCATGTCAGAATTCAGATGCTAGGTTGCTTGAGATTCTGTAATCGGTTCCATTTGTGTGGTCGATCTACTGCTATATCAAATAGGTATTACCCTTGATTGTTCATGAGACCAGCGACTTTCTAGTCTGAAATCCTGACTGATACCAGACACGACGAATCAATTCCCAGTAACAATTTCATCTGTATTCTGTTGCTCTAATTTGCTCATGTTAGTAGTAGATTTTGTTGCAAGAATGTTTATAATAAATATAGCTTAAATAGATATATACACTAAATATATACGCGGACGAATGCATCTATTTTTTGTCGGCATAGTGGACATAATCGAAGCGAATGACCACATGGCACACATGTAACGAAATGGCCACATGGAATACATGCCAGTGCCTTTTCCTCTGTCATACACAGTGCACATGGATTCATTAAGTCTGAATTTGCCGTTTGCATAAGCTGAGAATTGGTACTCATAGAAGTTGTATTAGATATTTTTGTCTTCGCAGTAGCTCGATCTACTGATGTTCTTGAGCTTGACTCTGTAGTAGAGGAACCAGATGAAGTGATTATTTCAACATCAGAACTGTTCGATGAACCTGCCGAGGCCAGTGTTGCAGGAGACAATGTTGGCGATTGTGCAGCCACAGTATCTAAATAATGGTTATATTACATAAATTAGATGATAAAAATTATATTTGAGCTCTGCTAAATGAAAAATAGTTAATTGACGCACTATTGTTTTTCAAAACACGATTTTTTATGAGTATGAAAGAATATAGTGACATTGTTAGAATCTTTGTTTGATCTCAGATCGTAAAAGATATTTCACATGCTGATCTTATAATCTCGTCACAACATGTAAGAGATGTAATACAGACGCTTCGATTACGATTAAAGCGGCTCAATTATGTTTGGCATGTTCATCGTACAGATGAATGTACAGTCAGACACATAAACTTATTGAAGAAAACAAGTAAATACTATTCTCATTATAACTGTTCTAAATAGCTAGTTGTTTTGTTCAGAGCTGACTACATCAGCAGGATATATTGCATTCACTTATAAATATCAATAAGTAAATGATTACTATTTTTTTTTCTTGTGCATAATAATGAGAAAATAGAAGGGGAGACCCCTACTCGATTTAGTCATTTTTTTCTATAAACAATACCTGATTGGGGTGGATCGCGCATTTGTCGCATTTTAACACTGGGAACTATAATATTTTCTTTCTTGCCATTAATACAATCGATTTGTCTCTGTAGAATAATACAAGCCATCACTAGATCGCAGTCAGTAACGAAATCATCCACTAGAAAACAATAGTAATTGTAGATATTTCATCCGATTATTATAAAGATCATGTCTTACGGACATTTTAAACGAAGTTGGTCCTCCCAACAACGTTTAATGACTGATAATTTGAAATGCTGGTCAAGTAATTTTTGTGATATAGGCAAGTCCAGGCGGGCAGCCACCAACCGCGACAATGTACGTTCATCCGATATCGTCAATTTCTGAGTATTACTAGTAATATTGTTGGTTGGCTCGTTAGCTCTGGCACGTTCTAAAAGCAGAATTACAAGATTACTTGCTGATTTTCTTCAGCAGGAAGAAAATGACAAAAAACGAACCTTGTGCAACTCGTTTCGATTCCTGGATTTTTCGATATAGCTCATCTCCACAGAGCTGTTTTGCATATGCACATTGTGGAAACCATCGAGCATGTTCTACTGTAGGGTTATCGTTCGTACCCCAATTCTGTAATGAGCCATTGCAGTAGAAACATGTAACTATCGTTTTAATACCAGTGTAAAAGAATCCTGCGCGAACGAGATCATCAACAGATGGCAGTGGTTCGCTCGGCCATGAAGTGAATGATTGATGGCGTTTTGGAATTTCCATATAAGATGGATTGCAAGCGGCGGCAAGGACAATTTCATGCGAATGAAAAACATTGGCAGTAGCAAGTACTTGGGTTCCATTAGTTTCCGTGCTCTGATTAATGATCAAACGAGGCGTAACTTCGCGGCATACTAACATATTTACTACAAACGGACATTTAGGCGATAGTGTTTTATGTACTTCACATGGATCGTCTGTATGTGGTGTCCACTCTTGACAAATGAGGTTACAATAGATACAGATCACTCGATCGCCAACGTTACAATAGAAAAAACCAGCTTTGATCATTTGTGTTTGAAATGGTGAACGGCGATGTTGCCAATGCGAGAAAGTTTGACGACGTATTTGTTTGATCATTTCTATCTCTACAAAAGTAGGTACTTGACTATTTCCGTTAACTACTTCAATTTTTTTATATTGAGAAGAGTTATCTTGTCCACTGGAATTAGTAGTTACTCGACCTATACTAGTTGTCTGTGGATGAGACGGAGATGACAACAAGACTTCACTTGATTGCTTTAAAGATTGAACGAATTTACAATTTGGACTGCGCTGTGCATGAACAGAAATTGGATTCATATCCTCTGTCCAACTAGTCACCTCTAATTGACAATCATCACAACGAGTTGTGTCACCAATATTCGTATAATGAAATCCTGCCGCTTTTAAACAATTAACAGAGTGAACACCGAGCTTTGTAGTAATATTTTGACATGTAATTAGAGTTTTGGCTAACCCACGAATATTTCGCAATGTAAATTTGGTCCCATTCGATGCTGACACATTAGACCGAGTTCCACTAGGTATCCTTGAGTTTGTACACTCAAATGCTACTTGATTTTGACAGTTCTTCTTAGTATTCGACCGCATTTGATCCGATTTTCTGCATGCTGGCCTTTCTCTCATAGGAATCTCGGAACTTAAGAGTTCTTCCTCAGCATGAGCCTTATTCAGTTGTATTGGTTGCTTTATTTTATCTTCAAATGATATTTGAGTTTCTAAGATATGTTTTCTATCATCCAACATGACATCCTGTAGCGAATCAGTATTATACATTCGACAGAGTAGCACTAATATTTTCCTCTAGGTAAAATTTTCATCTAAAAATAGAATCAAGATGAATTGCTATGGTGATTGATTGTTTTTACGTCAAATATACAGATACGAGAGAAATAAATTAGGTTTTCTCAAACGGTTATTAGACAGAAAAATATTCAATAATCACAGGGCTAATATACTAATTCATAATACAATCTGTGTCATGTGTGAGTCTTTCAGGTCCAGACTGAAGCCTTTTTCTCATAAAAACTAAGCAGAGCTTTCAATATTTATAAAATCTTTAGGTATTTTTGTCATAACAGGAATGTATATCCTTTTCTTTGCTTAGAAGACACCACGGGATCGGCAAACAATGGTTCAATACTCACCAATCTCCAGACGTGAGTGTTGTGTTAGAAATGGAGGTGAGGTTATTCATTTCAATTACTCTCGCTCTACTGTACAAGTCTTTTTCAAAAATTAGCTCAATCGAACAAGCTAGTTTCTTTTGTTAAGTTTCCAATTTGTGAAACATATTTTAGTTTTACTCTTTTTCTCAGAGGAACTGAAAAAAATTCGACTTGTGCTCTATTTGTGTATCTCTACATCTAACTTTTCGGTCTTCAATTGATGTTTTCCTTCCTTGGATCTTCCACAGCCTGAATCTCTTTAAAACAGTCCTATAAGGGCATACGTTTCTTCAGTCTATTTACGAGAAATTATTCATACGTAAAAAAGGGACCATATTTACGCAAGACTTCACTTCACCTTTATTGATGAGATATCCAGGTGTGTGTCATAATTTGATGCAGTTTTAAATTACTATATATTTTTTTACTGCCTTCTAATGAAATAGCAATCTTCCAATTAAGTTGGAAAAAGCCAACTGCATGTAAATGTAACCTGTAATGACAACAACAAGTAAGAAACAGAACACTTACATGCGTAGAGTACAACGCTTGGTGAAAAAATATGAAGTTATAGGGTTGCGGCACACATGGTATTATTGTTATTCATTCCTTATTATGTACAATATTCAACATGCATGTATGATAACTGAAACAGATTGAACTCAACTTGAGTGTGAGTGAAGAGCAGACCCGTACCAGTACCCATCTACACACGCAGCCTACTGACTCACACCCACATCTACAATCGCCAACACCCACAAAAGAGTTCACTGCTGTCTGAAAGCCATTAATATTTTTCATTGCGATGATTTGCAAATAGCTACAACAGTTCCATCGGAGCTAACTATTCATTCGCTGGAGTTCTTTGCAAATTATTGCTGAACGGAAAGACGTAATCGATTGCAATCGAACGATGTGTTCGAAGATGCAATACGTCCCATGGAATGAAAATCATTAATCAATGTGAAAAGCTCATCGTTAATTGTTTGTTTATAAACTGATCTGACCCTTCGGTATCATGCTGTTAAAATTTTTTGTATGTCTTCACGGCATGATCAACTATATCGTGCCCCAAAACAATCATCTATGGCCCATATGAATTTCTTCCCTAGTTCGATCCTTATATGAATGGTGATAAAATGAATCGAGGTCCACTGCGCGTCATCAGCCAACATGCTGAGATATTCGAAGATGAACATTAATGTTGACAATATATTGAGCAAATGCTCAATGACCATCGTCTTGTATGCGTTTTCAGAAGATATTCATTGCAATTTCTGTACAATGAACCTTGCTCTTATGTTGAATAACAATATCGTACAGCCGATGAAAGAATGATCTGAATAGGTGTAAGACACTGCATATTATGCATCAGCATGCTATCTGTTACTCTGTATAGCTCGCGTTTCAAAATTTCGATTTTATAAAAGCATCGTCGAGGCTTGAGGCTCACTATATATATTTGCTGATGCAACTTGTCGTCATCCGACTATTGATTTGCGTTGTTTTCTTTTAAGTTGGAAAAAACCAAGTGTCGACACTCAACGAACGAATACGATTCTTCATTTGCTAATCGATCTTATCAAATTTTTCTGCGCAAATACAGCAGCTTCTCAAGTGCACCCTGCGCAAATACATTAACTTGATGTGAAAAAGAACAAGAGAAAGTATTTATTTCTATCAAGGGTGTAGGTATCGGTGTGAGTATGAAGTTGGAAAGTGAGTGTTGGTGTGAGTATGGGTATGGACTGTTACTCGATACAATATCCATGCACACCCAATTATAAAAAAAGATTAATCTGCATATGTTCAATATACGAAAATTATTAGTTAGATAAAGAGAAAGAATGTTGTTCGATTTTGATTGAAGAAAAGTGTGTTCATATTTTTATTGACGATATTGTTCGAATACGAGAAATGAGAAGAGATATAAAATTATTGATATTTATAATCTAAGAAGTCAATTGAAAATGGAGATAAAGATAAAGTATTCATTCATTCGATTAATGAACTCATCTGATGAGATACTTATAATTATTTTAAACAAATTGGACAAAGTTGAAGTACTTTATTCTTAAACAAGTGTGAAGATACGATTCGATCAAATTATACGTGATCTAGGTTTTGCTATTTAACTTGCATTAATGAAATATAATTCATTGATTGATCACGCACCTCGTTTATCTGATAAAATGTTTGACCAATTCTATTTTCAAGAATTTTGCCTCAAATTCATTATAAAATCAAATATGCTTAATGTTGAAGAGCTATCTGTAGAATGTATTCTTCTTGTTGTTTACTATCCGAATTTGAGTCAACTTGATATTTTCATTGTGAACCTGGAAACTGACATAGATCTCTTTACTAGTAAAAATTTTGATTTGATTATTTTAATCATTAAATCATGAGAAGATATATTGTCTATGGATGAAAAGAATTATATTATAGATGTTAGACGAAAGTTTTTGGAAGAAAAAGAATACAATATAGTGAAACATTTTTTTAAATAGCTGTTCGTCATCTATTTTAATTTTAATACACAGAGAGAGAGAGAGAGAACATTATGAATTTTACTAACTAACTTTTCATCATATATTTTAAGAACAATAAAAAATAATCCATGGTCAAATATAAATATTCCTGAAAATACGACGATAATTGATATAATAAAAACAATTCGAGTATTAAGATGAAGATAAATTTATTTTTGTAATCAAGGACATTATAAGCGATGGAGAATGAAAAAAACATACATATATTATCCGTTCTTTTTAGTAATCTTATACTTCTTACATTTAGATGAAACTTTAGTTCATACCTTTCAAAATCCGATTATGAAGTTATCTATCCGCGGTAGGAAACTCATGTACAATCCATTTGCAATGAGTATACGAGCAAACATAGGTGTGCTTATGGATGTCAATCTTGAAGGTGAGTGTCGGATGTTGCTGAAGATAAGACCCACACCCACACCCACCATTTCTCTTTCTACTTCGATGAAAAAACGTACTAAACACAATGTACGTGCATTCCGACTAGATCAACTCGAAATAAAAGAAACAAATAGTAGGTGACGACAAGACAGTTAAAGAAGAAATGGAAAATAAAGAAAAACGCGAGTATGTAAAGGACATAGTTCTGTAACAGTATTTTAATAATTTAATATCGTATTAATTCAGATGCAACTAATTCATTACAGTCTCATCTACTGTGCGCATATTGCCAAAAAATTCCAATGGAAATAGGATAATAATAAAATACCCAGCAAAAATTATTCTTTCGTAATTCCAAAAGAATTTCAACGGTTACGGAAATTCGATATCGTCGAAATTCCATAGATTTAAACAATCTATGGCTAAAAGTGTGAACACATTTGCAGCTAAATTGCTAATAACTATTATTAATTTAACGCTAGGACCTCGAAATTGAAGAACATCAACAATTAAACAGAGTATCAAGTTACATTAAAATGTTTTTCTTGACTGTGAACTCATACCGGTCACAAGATAAATCGTTTAAAACAACAATCTGCTTTCATCATAATTCCATACGAGTTTTGTCAAGTTCCATGTAATGCAGTGTACTGAACATCACACAAAGTAAACTTTAGTTGAACAGCTGATTGATATTTCAAAATCCATTTGTAGATGTATACTATTAAGCTTCTTTCTAAGTATCAAAGGTAGACAGAATCGAATCATTTCTATTCTAAACTGCGCTTTTAAATTTTAATATATTCATACGTTATTTAACTTGATCAAGGTATCCAAAAGAAAATGACCTTGATAAATAGCTACTTACAGAAAAGACATTTCATGCATCTCTTTATAGTAATTGCTCAAGGTAGCCATAATGATATTCGATGCAGTGTTTCATCCTTATAATCTATTTTTGTGGTATAGTTTCATATTCATAAAGAAGTATTGAATTGATTATCTTGAATATTAATATTCTTGACTTAACGTATCTGAATATATTTTATCCATCTTGAAGATATCTAAATAGTTAAAGATCTGAAATGCCAGCATCAGGTGAATATTTTAGATAAGTTACAGCTTGGAGTTGTTCTTCTTTAAAGGAACCTCTCATTTCCAAGGTTTCTCAAGAACGACTTGACGAAATTTTTTGAAAATTTCAGAGTAGATAGATCTCAATGAGTAGAATAAACGTTGTTATAGGTTCAAAGTTCTCAAGTGTTTCCTTCCAGGAGATCTCGGGAGGCCAAGAGCCCAAAATAACCTGAAGTTTGCTCTCCGGCAAACATTCACACTACGTTTTTTTTAGGACTGAAATTTTTTCTGCGGCAACTAGGAACAAATCCGGGTACGTGTTTTTTTCGTTGAAAAATATTGTTCCTGTGGTTTGGGAGAAACAAAATACTGGAGACACTACCAAAAAACCATTAAAAAAAAGCTTTTTTTGGAGGATACTAATTTTGTAAATCTACAAAACTTCAATTTCTTGTTTAAAAATTTGATTTGGAGAAAATCGCAAAGAAAGTTGCACTTTTTGACTTTTTACCATAAAATTCCGTTTCTTTTCGAGTTTTTTACATAAAAAAGAAAGGTGATTTTGTTTTTTTAAAATGTGTTCATTAGATAGAAGGCATTTAAATCTACATATCATACGTAAAAAAATGAAAAACGAAAAAACTGAAAATTTTTGGTTGGAAAAGAGGATCTTCTTAGATGGTAAATTTCAATATCTTGAGCATGTAAGTCGAATGATCATGAGAATCCTTGATGTAAGTTGCGCACGATGACTGCCCATGCTTTTTAAATATTCTAAGTTTTGTTTTAAAGATTCATCTCATTAGTAGTTCGCATTAGTGGACAATTCAGAAGGCATTGACTGATAAACAATGGCTCTATTGCCACGAAAAATTCAATGAGCATTGCTGTTTCTTATGTAGTTACCTTTAAAAGACGATTGTTGAAAATGTTTTCTCCTAGCTACGATCTTGATTTAATGTTATAACAGTAATTCTATGTTTCATTAACTATAATGAAGTCACCTAAAGGCTATGCAATAATCTTCTAAAAACAGCTATTACAGTGACATAACTTTCTCGATGACTGAGAGTATTGGTTTCTATGTTTGTCTTTACTTCATCCACACTCGTACTGATAACTACAACCGCATCGGCTTCACAAAAAGATGTTTTTCGGAAGAATGAAAATGGTATTGTTTATAATTACGTTACAATTCGTTGGTTAATATTTTAAGAGTTAAGTGAATTCAAACTTTATAGGATCTATGAAGGACACATCGAACAATTCTTCTGGAGATGATACAAAGTTTTTGACACCACTATTAAATTTAATAAAAACCTTTCTCTAGTTTTATAGATGCGGAGACTCCTCTAGTGTATGTTTTAAGCTATAAAAAACTTCTTTTCGGTTTACTTGATTCAATTCATTTCATTCATTGCATTTATCTTTGTAAAATATAGTTTTACTGGTTGCTTCAGTTTTACACCATTTTACTCATAAAATAAAGAATATCAAGCAGAATTTATTTTAAGCGAAATGAAATTATTTACAGTCGTCGATTTGTTATTATTAAAATTACTTCAATTTTTAGTTTTTAGTGAATTCAAGATAGTTCAATAAATCTTAAGTCTTGAGCATTGTCTCCGATGGATCTATGGATGCTTCGTTGTCAATATTAGTATTATGCTCTTCATTTACATTTATAGCCCATTTTCTTGGAATAGCTGAACCAAACGCCAAGTAGACGAGACCACCGATAGTATAGACAAGCATAAAAATGATGAACATGTATCGCCAATCGCTAAGAATAGGTTGTTTGATTAGAAAACCTGCCAAGACGTTTGCCGAAAGGCTGGCCAAGGATCCGAATGTGATCGATAAGCCAAAAAGAAGACTTGAATAAGCAGGTACCACATCAGCAAAATTGACAACATAACCAGCACCGTAACCAAAACCTGAAATTATTCATCAAGAGAACTTAGCCGATCAATATATTTACGCTTCGATATATCTATGAATTAGTGAACGAAGTGTCTGAATTTGACAACAATTCAAATTGTTTAGAAATTCATTTTTTCAAGAAAATAGATTAGTTTAAAAAGAATCTTTAATCATCTTCTAGCTAAATATTAGTCGATATCAGAATGAAAGAAAATAAAATATCAAAAAATCCACGATAAATTTATATTCATGATTATTTACAGTTGATTATGAATTGAAATTTTCTTCGTAATAATACTTACCTGAACTGCCAAGGTAAACGAGCAAAGTTCCCATGCCTAAAATCTGTCGAGTTTCATCACAAAAGCAAAGCACACACATACATATAACAGGAATGAACGATGTAAGCGAATTGAATAATTTTCGCACACTTGTCAATGACATGATATTTTTTTTAACGAGAAGATCAGAGACAATACCTATATATTAATTGTTCTAGACAAGCTTTAACTCTTCAGTTTGTTTTCTTCTTACCAGATAAAAGACTACAAAGTGCCATAATTATATAACCTACAGCTAATAAATAGCCAGTTTTTTGAGTCGATACACCATGGATTTCTGTAAGTATCTTGCCAATATTTGTATAAAAGAAAAATAGTCCAAATACATTACATGAATGTGTTATGAATAAAGCAATGATTGGTTTCGATCGAACAATCTTCTTCCATGGTAGTGAAGATAATGCGATGAGGTGTCCACTTTTATTATTTGTTTTTCTACCAATAATATTACAAATATAATTACGTTCAATTTGATTTATTTTTTTATGCTCTCTGGGTGAATCTGTTACTAGCCATAACCATAATGGAAACCAAATAAATCCAACGATGCTCGATAAAATGAATATATACATCCAACCTGAATTCATATAACGACAAAAAATACCTCCAATCAACATCATTGTAGCTAGAGAAAAGAATATTATCATCATTCATCTACTATCAATAGAATAAAAATATCTACTTACATGTACCAACATGCGTACCAGAAAAACTAATGGCTGTCAAAGTACCTCGTTCATTTGGTACTGCCCATGATACCCATACTGTATACGTAGCTGGAAAAAGAGCACCATGACCAAGACCAGCAATTATTCGTAGGACAACGATCAATATAAACAAAAATTGAGTATCTGCCATTGTATAAATAACTGATAGAGCCAATGTTGCTAGAGAACTGGTGAGTAGACAGTAAGAAAATACTCGCTTAGCACCAATACTCATCGATAACCAACCACCTATTATATGTACACATATAAAAATAATAATTTTTTTTTTTTTAAAATTCTATACCTGGTACGAGTGTTAAAATATAGCCGGCCCAATATGCACCGAGTATAATTTGTTGTTCGAATTCGTTCCAATGAAATGTTTTTTCTTTAAAAAATTGAACTGTATCTTTGACCGAAGGTGTTACTGTAGTATTATGTTCCAAATGTAATGTCGAATTGACTTTGATATTGTTGCTTGTCTTATTGACCATGCATACAATTGCAATAGCTAGACTTTGTCGTTGTTCATATTGAGTAAAAAGTGCAAAAGAAACAAGTAAAGCTATAGTAAAACGTGTTGATGGAATGAATCGTGGAGTTGTTGTTATATCTTCTATGTTCTCGGTAGCCATAGAATGACTAAAATAGCAGAAAAAAAAATACACATAGTTGCATAATTGATCGACAAAAATAATCGATAGAATAAATACGTATTACCAATACAGATAAAACAAATATTGTTATTTTAAGCTTCATTTTTGGACGAGCAGTGCAATGATAAAAATACATAATAATATGTCAATCGTTACATGTGCACGTCCTAGAGTCTCTCTTTCTTTTCTTTACTTTTTAATGATATTAGCTTTTTTTATCTATTCAAGCATAACACAATATTTGTCTTCGAGTGCATTATCTTATAAGGTGAATCAAGGGCAAACTATATATTCACCATTCCGATATTGAAAATTCAAAGGAATTCATTGTTTGAAGCTTCCAAATTTCAAGATGGCATGTATTATTGAATGTACAGCTTCTGTCATAATTCGACTATGATAATGATGTTTTGTCAATCGTTTTATTTTTATGTTCGAAATTCAAACACAATAACCAGCACAAATATCAGAATAAATTAGATTGACTTTAGAATAACTGATGAACTAATTTTAGTAAAATTATATATGCATTTGAAAATTATTTCAGACTTTCTATTTCTTTTTTTTAGGTTTTTCATTTGCATTTTGGATTAATAATTTCAAAAGACTAAAACATGAAAAAAAAAGAGATTTGAAATGTAATTATATAATTTTATAAAATATAAACTATATGACAAGCTTCCATAATATGATTGAGTTCTTCTTCTGTTACATATGTTCTAAAAAATATTTTAATTAACCCTTTCGAGTCGATGGGTCTCACCAATGGGATCCATCGACTCAAAAGGGTTAATAACAAAAATGAAATAAAATAAAATAAATACATATTCTTGAGTTGTTGTTGTTGAAGTAGATTCACTAGCAATCATAATCGTAGTTGGGATAAAAATTTTGGTAAAGAAACTAATGCTTTTTCCATAGATATAACCTTCCTGAGTTTTTCTTTTTTTTTTAATTATTTTTCTCTTATGTGATATGACGATATGTGATAACGCAACTAAACATTGGATATTTTAAGTATTAGTAAAAAAAATCATTATTTTCTAGAATAAAATCACTTCCACGTAAAATACACAAAAAAAACTAATTAGCATTTCTAGATTTTGATTATTAAAATTGGTTTTTAATGGAAACAAGCATGATTTTTGAATCGATTGTTAGTCGAATAAGCAAAATCTTTATAAAAAAAACCTTGAGCAGGATTCTTAAGATTCTGAAAAGAAACAAAGCCAGAATTGCAAAGAGGATCTTGATGAAAACTTAGCAGAATCTTGTGTGATTCTTCCAGAAATCATTCAGGAATTATCGGGATTGAGACTGGGAAAGCACGTTGGGTAATTGCTACATGCAAGGAAAATTGTCTAAAGAATACTCCTTTTTTTTTATTTGCAGAAGCAAGTACGGAATAAATTATTTCAATCTCTCACCAGACAACAACAAAAAATATGTATGCATGAGAGATCAGCGACAAAAAAAAATTGAACTAATCAATGTTTACTTAAATATGGAGCTATCAACACGATGATGGGAAAGAATAGGAGGAGTGAAGAGATAAAAGAGAACATCCATAGTAGAGTAGTATCTGTAACAGTGGGTTTCCTCATATTGATAGTACGTAGTTTCTAACTATTGTCTTTTTAGCTGTAATATCAAGGTAGTTTGAAAATGAGCTACTAAAAACATTCACTGTGTTCCGCACACGCACCTACACCTGCGCCCACGACATTTATTCATGGTTCATAAATACTAGTTAAATCATTCATCTTATCTGTAATAAGAAGCTCTACTACCTTATGGAATTATAGACCATGAAAAATCTTTTCAGTGCGGTGTCTATACAAATAAAATGCGAAACATGATAATGGTTTTTGTTTACCTTAATATGCATCCTCTTCAGACAAATATAATAGCGGATGACATAATTCAATATCAGTGCGCTGGGATATTGACATGGAAGATATTGACTGTCCTTTGTATTGTTCGCATCAACATTGATTACTATTAAAATACTGATATAGACGATATTAACATTCTTGGGCACTGTTATGAATTTGCATATGAAATGGATAATTGTCGTTTATTTTAGCACGCATTCATGCATTAATCTACAATCAGGGACTACCAAGCATTTTTTTAACTTTAAATTCAGCTGATATTCACAGTCCCGTGGCATTATATTTTACTGGCGTCAAGCTTGAGTTGAACAATATTCAAATGGAACAACTTATGGATAATTACCAAAGAGCTGAAATTATAGCATCTCATCCTGTTGCTACTGCCAAATAGTTCCATTTATTGCTCAGTAATATCTTAGATACTATGATCGTTGGTGGTGTACTTGGCCCAATAAAAGCTTACTTTGGTACCGTTGTAAGTCAAGGACGAGGTTCCCTTCATTTGCATCTTCTTATTTGGCTTGATCATGCTATGAAACCAGCTGATATGAAAGACAAAATTCAAAATGCTGAATTTCATGAAAAATAAAAGCATATCTAGAAGATATAATCAAAGAAGATTTAGATGAATCAAAGACAAACATGTCTTCGAAAATTTAGATGGTATAAAGAGTTCAATTTTTGCTTATGTTATAGTGCCAAGATCATGGAACACGCCACCACGATTATCCCGAGATAACATATATGTAGTTTTAAGTACAATCGATTTGACAGGTTTACAACAAAATATATATGGACCCAACAACATTATATCAACACCGTTGAAGGAACAATTTGTTTCATCGATTTTGCATGTGTCTGCATTGTCAAATAAACTTTTACAAACACCAACACGTAATCAATCAACATCTGGTAAGTATAGTAATCATAGAAGAAAAGTAAAGGATTATTTAATATTTTAGTTATTAATGCTTCGTATAATGAATCAAAAGTGATTCCAGCTTGCTTACCAACTCCAAATCCGTCGTCATCTAATTTTGCATCACGATTTCGTGCAGATGTAGTACAACTTGTTGAAGTAAGCAATATTCATAAACATAGTGATACTTGTTATAAATACTGGAATGCTAATAAAGATGATAAGAAAAGTTGTTGGATGCGTATGCCACGCAAGTTGGTACCAATTTCAACAATTGATCCTAATACAGGCCACATTTCGATGCAAAGATCCGACCCATTAATCAATAATTTTAATGAATATCTCATCGCAGCCTGTCGATCCAACATGGATATTAAATTTATCTGGAGTGGAAGCGATGCAAAGGCTCTTATCTATTATATTATCGATTATGTGACAAAAATGAGTCTTTCTTTTCATGATACATTTGCTCTTGTACAAAAAAGCATTACAGCGTTCCAGAATTCATGCCATCAATCAGACAAAGAAACTGCAATCGAGAAATCGCGTAGACTCGTTTTACGTTGTTATAATTCACTTGCTTCTCAACAAGAATTATCTGGAGTTCAAGTTGCATCTTATCTGATGAACTGGGGATGATCATTATACAACACACAAGTTCCAAGACCTCTTTTTAATTCAAACTGAACGATTTTTACAAACTCAATTAAATGAAATACGTGCCAAACAGAAGTCGAAAATTGTAACATGCGGTATGTTTTTAATATTATAGTTGAATCAAATACAATGTATTATCTTTCATTTGTTAGATATAATGGACGATGACCTATATAATGATGAAGCTATTGACAATGAAAACAATGACAAAGAACAATTTCAAATTCAATCGAATGAAAATGACAATAGCTTCGTCCTTGTTAATACAAGAATTGATTATCAACGACGATCCGATACTCTCAACAAGATGTGTTTATACGACTTCGTCAGCACATTATATAAGAAAAAAAATGAATACATCAGATTTCAAGTATTCATCCGAATCTGCAGCATCAGTTGAAAAAAATGCTAATCGAAAAGGTCGTCCACACAATGAACGCTTTCCTTTTCAACAACAGCATTCACAGGCAACAACACATTTAATGATGAAATATAGTCAACTTCATGCACCTATTTTTTACGGCCCTCAAATTCCTCGACAAGATCGTGATGACACTCGAGAACGATATTGTCGAGCTCTTCTCACACTCTTCGTACCCTGGCGGTCCGTCACTAATCTCTGTGATGCGAATCAAACATGGAAAGATGCCTTCAAATATCGGTAACATCTTATTTCTGTTCATTTATGGAAGATTACAGAAAATATTCAACTTTTGCACGAATGTAAAAAGGATCGTGATGATCATTTACTTCAAGTTATTTCTGAAGCTCAAGTTGACAATGATACTATCAATCCTGTACTTTTGCTAGCAAAACATGATGTTCATGGCGAATACGACATGGATGACAGCGATGACTTGCTTGAGTTATTAGGCAATTTAGATGAATATACAACTGCTGCAGTCAATACCACAAGAAAAACAACAGAAAATAAATATATTGAAGAAATTATCGAAGCAGTCGAGAACGTTGGACGATTTAATCATACGAACAGTAAGTATTATTTTTATATCATTAACAAGTTTGAAAACAATGATAAAAAATTTATTGTAGCATATTATCAATCTTCTTTAGATATATCAATTGATCGTACTAATCGACAACTTATACCGTTCCTTTGTGCAACACCTCATCTTGTTCAACTCAATGCAAAATGGCAAAAACAGCTGAAGATCGAGAAAGAACGAGTTAGACGAAGTTTAATTATAGGGAACTATGACAAAGATGATGATACATTGGATTTATTTGCTATAAGAGATGCCGTTGTAACAGTGGTGAATCCAAATAATTATAGTACAAACAATTTTGAAAACTATGGTTCAATTCTTCCAGTGCTTAAAGTCATACATAACTTTCCTACTCAGGCAAGTATTATTAATGAATTTACATTAAACAGAGAACAACGAGCTGCATTTATGATCATAACAAGTCATCTTGATGGTGACAACCGATGTCGCATAAGTATTTTTACAATACACGTCATCACAAATCGAAATATACAATCTGTTTAGGTGACAATAATGGTCAGCTCATCATGTGTATACCTGGGTGTGGCGGAACGGACAAATCACAACTTATTCGTGCTCTTACCAAATATTTTCTCGTTACAAAAAGAATGCAAATGATGAGGAAGCTTGTACCGACTGGAGTTGCTGCTGCTGAAATAGATGGAATGACAATTCATTCATTTTTGGGCGAACAACGCAATTCAGGAAAGCCATGGGCTATTAAACCGGGTGACTCAAAACTTGAGAAAGAATGGAGATCAGTCGAATATCTTTTAATTGATGAGATGAGTATAGTTGGTTTAACTCTACTAGCAAAATTCAATCGAATTGTTTCAACTGCAAAACACGTCGATCCTCAAGTTCCATTCGGTGGTGTAAACATTATCTTCTTTGGTGATTACTTACAATATCGATCTGTATATGATGCACCATTACACACTGATTTTTCATTACCATCCAAAAAGAAATCGAGTAAACTACTCACAGAAAAAGAAATTCAACAACGTGTTGCACGTTCTTTAATTCTTCTAATTAACTGTGTGGTAAAACTTACTCAACAGATGCGCACAGAAGATTCACGGTACCTTCAGCTACTCGAATGTCTTCGTCATGGACAATGTAATTATGACGACTACGGATTATTGCTGACACGAGTAGTTGGGCAACCATCAGTAGGCTCTCTCTGTGATTCACCATGGAATAAAGTAAGTTTTCTTTTCCTTTTGATACAAACGTGTATATTTGTCTCATTTAGGCTCCGATCTTTGTGTTCCGAAATGAAGTACGAACACAATTGAACAACAAGGCAGCAATTCACAATGCAGCTCAATTAGGCCACACCCCAATAGTATATGTCGCTCAAAACACTTGTAATGGCAAACCAATTGAAGATCCTATACTTATAAAAAAATTATTGAAATTATCTGATAACAAGACAGAGCATTTACCTGGTTTATTACTTTTTGTTCCTGGAATGCCTGTTATTTTAACATAAAACATTGCTATTGAACTTGGTCTTATTAATGGTATTAATAGAATCTTTCGACAATTAGTCTATCAGGCATATTCTGTATCAACAGATGTTTTATCGGAAATATTTCCAAAAAATACACAGTACATCCATCGACCATTATATGCATTAACAGGAATTGCCAAATCAAAAATTGAATCCAATCTTGAAGAACTTCAACCAAAACTTGTTCCAATACCAGTAATCGAACAAACATTTCGAGTAGACGTTTCTGATGTTCTTCCATAATCATCTCTTCCTTCATGCCCATGTCAACACTGCACTCACACCCACACTCATATCCACACCCAACACCCCACACCCATACCAACACTTACACTCACACCCCACACTCACCCTACCAATTTTTATTAAAAATAATATTTAAAAATCAAATCTGGTAATTGAGTTCAAAACTAAACTGTAAATTGAATAATTAAATCTAATAAAATAAAGCAAACACTGATATAAATTTATTTGCATTTGTTTTCATTTACTTTTGTCTCAAATTGTTAATGAACAAATGGCAATATAAGAGTTATTAATATAGACCCTATAATTTTTTTATTCAAGGAGTTATTTTGAATCATTATTCTATATTTCAAAAAGATCGGTATTATATCCAAAAATTGAAAAAATTAATATTAAAATAATTATTAGCACATTGTAAAATTTTATATTGAAGTAAGTATTGCAAATTAGGAATATATTTGGATTGTTGTGTAAAAAACTCTTTATATTCTGAAAGAGTTTAATATTTGAAATGTTCTAAAGAATTATCATACTTAAAAATGGGACTGCTATTATATTCTGAAAAATATTATTCTCTTACTACAATATTGGAATTGGCGAAAAATAATCTATCGGCAAAAATAATAGCAAATCTCAATAGTACATAGATCTATGTCGTCAATATTATAAGTTTTAAATTTAGACAAAAAATGTATTTAAATTATAAATATGAATAAAAATTCCAACAAATTCCAGAAGAATCTAACTTAATAAATACAATTAACATTTTTAAAAGAAAATTTGCTGCTCCTAAATTGGTGCTTCACAATGAAAATGATCATTCCAATTACAAAATGTTATCAACCGTTTTACTAAATTACCATCGTTCGAAACTTGTTCTTCTAAAAAATTCACACAGAAATAACTATTTCAGTATTCACAAAGATACGGTATATATATATATATATATTTATTTATTTTTTACAAAAACTCCTACGAAAATTATATTTATTAAAACAAAGATTCAATCTATTAAAACGAAAATTCAACTTATTAAAATGGAAAAAAGAACAAATTATATCAGCGGATATAAATTACAACCAACTGCAATAAAACTAATAGATAAGATGCTAGCGTCCAATAATTGTTCACAGACACGAAACCGTGAAATTTCTCTATTAATTCATAATTTTATTTTTAATTTCTACTTTTATTTTGAATTTTAAATTTTCTTAATTTTTAAATTCCTTATATCTTTTTTTTGTGTGCTTTTTTGTAACGCAGAGTTTTGAAGAGTGTTTTAATATTCAAATAAATAACTAACACGAAACACGTCGGCGTTAAATAAAATCTGTATTATTTCTTATTAAATA